AAAAAAGATAAAATTGTTCTGGATTTAGAGCGAGCCCTAAATCCAATGAGAGAGCTTTTCTTATAGAAAAGACACAGAGACACAGAGGGGAGGCCATGTGAAGACAGAGACAGAGACTGGAGTTCTGTTGACAAAAGCCAAGCAAGGCCTAGATCCAGAAGAAGCTGCTCGAGGTAGGACGAGATTCTCTTCCAGGGTCTCTGGAAGGAGTGTGACCCTCCCAGCACCTTGATTTCAGACTTCTGGCCTTGAACTCTAAGAGAATATATTCCTTTTGTTTTAATCCATCACGTGTGGCATGGCAGCCCTGAGGAACGAACAAAACCAGGGTTCTGGCTGACTGCAGAACCCAAGTTCTCAGCCCCACATCAATGTTACTTGAGCATCAAGGGAGAAACATTCTTTCAGACCCCTGAGACTATATCATCCCTGACTGAGGATCTCAATCTAAGAAATGCAGGATTTCCCCCTTTCACAAATGCCTGTTACAAATTACTTCTAAAAGACAATGTTATCTTTATAACTAGTAACAAATCGAGACTACCCACAACACAGAAACACAGAATGTAAAAACTCTCCTGGAGGAAGGTGTTAAGCTTAGGAGACACCAGGTGTGGGGGGGCGCCTGGGTGGCTCAGTTGGTTAGGTGTCTGCCTTCGGCCCAGGTCATGATCCCAGGGTCCCGGGATCGAGTCCCACATCGGGCTCCCTGCTCAGCAGAGAGCCTGCTTCTCCCTCTGCCTGCAGCTCCTCCCCCCGCTAGTGTGCGGTCTCTCTCTCTCTCTCTCTCTCAAATAAATAAATTCTTAAAAAAAAAAAAAAAGAGACACCAGGTGTGGAGTATATGAGCACTCTCTGTACTATGTCCCCAATAATAAACTGTCCAGGGCGCCTGGGTGGCTCAGTTGTTAGGCGTCTGCCTTTGGCTCGGGTCATGATCCCAGGGTCCTGGGATCGAGTCCCACATCAGGCTCCCTGCACAGCGGGAAGCCTGCTTCTCCCTCTCCCACTCCCCCTGCTTGTGTTCCTGCTCTCGCTGTCTCTCTCTGTCAAATAAATAAATAAAATCTTAAAAAAAAAAACACAAAAACTGTCCAAAAATCAAAAGAAGTTATTTACAAAAGAAAAACCGACTGTCCTGGAACTGCCTTGAGGATTAGCCCCGGGACCCTAGTTGAAGAAATTCTGCCCATCTTTATTCTTTATTAATGCTCGCCAAACGAATGGCCATGCTTATCATCTGGGAGATCCTGCTGAGCTTAAGTGCCTGTCCTGAGCTCTGACGCCCACCTGGGAAACCCCTCTCCTCTCATTTGGTCCCAGAAAACCCAGCTCTGCCCCAGCAAAAAGAGCTGTGATACTTGGGAGGGAGGCACAACTCCCAAGTCTGGGTTTTCCAAGTAAGAGGTGCAGGGAGAACCGTGTGTGAACCAACTGCTCTAGATACTTTCCTTTGGCCCACCCCCTTCCTAAAGTGGCAAAAAAAAAAAAAATTCACACAGGCCAAAGCCAGGAAAGGCGTCCTCCGTGGCGCCCAGAGCATCAGTGCAAGAAACCCTGAGACAAAGCTGAATGAAACAGAATAGCAAAATGTGAACAAGCCGTCAGGAACCAGAACAGATAAAAAAAGAGTAACAGAGAAAGAAAAAGGATGAACTACAAAGACTCAGGGGCCTTGGCAAACGCATTTGTGATTTTTTTTCTTCCACTGAAATGTCAGTTTTGAAACTAGCTTCTGAAAATGTAACGAGCTTCTCACATCCCCAAAAAGAAAGATCGGAGGACCGTGGCGAGGGCGGAGGCTGTGTTACCTCTTACTTCGGAGCCGGACATCAAGAAGGAGCCCTACCCTTCCACGTTTCCACCAAGACCACATCCAGCGGCTCGCACCACCCGGGCAGGGGCCCTCTCCCCAGGTCTAGAAGTTTCCCACACGGGGATCCAGAACGCCAAAACGCTTCCGATGGGTGGAACCAGATCCTCCAGGCCACCCCAGGCCGGGCACCACTTTCCAACTGTCCTTAGCAGTCCTGGGAGTCCCGAGAGATGGCCAAAGGCTGCCCACACCCCTCCCTCCCTCCCCTAGGGCGGCCACACCCGCCCCGGGGACTCCCACCTCTCCCATACCCCAGGCCCCCTTCCCTCCCACCCAGCCCCCAACCCCCCCACCCCCACCCCCGGCTACGAATTCACCTTCCCGGCTCGGACCCCACTTCCTGCCCACCCCCTCCCAATCTCAGGGCCCTCACTCCCCCATTTCCCGCTTCCTACCGTACTCCCGGCACCTCACCTCTGGCCACCACGCACGCCCTCTTTTCTCTCTGCCCCTTGACATCGTTCCTCTACTGCCCTCACTCGGGGGGCCCCCCACTCCCAGCTCCCTCGGCCCGGTGCCACGGACCTCACACCAGGCCCCCACGGTTCAGGACCCCTCACCCTCGGGGCCCGGGGCCCCTAGCTGCGGCCGCGTCCCTCCCGCCCCGGGTCCCCCGCCCGGCCGGCCTCGTGGGCAGCCCCCGCGCTCAGCCCGGCCCCGGGGCCCCGCACTCACGGCTGTAGAGGGCGATGCCCGCCGCGTCCGGGCCGGCGCGCACCTCGAGGCGCAGCGCCTGCTGCTCCGCGTGCCGCTGGATCTCGCCGTTCGCGTCGCCGATGGT